GTCTCTTCAACAAATGGTTTTAGGAAAACTGGACAACACACAAGAGAATGAAACTGTACTGTTTTTTACACCATACTGAAAAATAAATTCAAAATGGATGAAAAACCTAAATTTGAGACAGGTAACCATTAAAATCCTACAAGAGAACACACAGGCAATAACCTCTTTGACACTGACCATAGCAACTTCCTACTAGATATGTCTCCTGAGGTAAGGGGAAAAAAGCAAAAATAAACTATTGGGATTTCATGAAAATAAAACATTCTGTATAGCAAAGGTGACAATCAACCAAACTAAAAGGCAACCTATAGAATGGGAAAAGGTATTTTCAAATGACATATCTGATAAAAAGTTAGTATCCAAAATATATTAAAGAACTTACAAACTCCACACCCAAAAAACAATCCAGTTTAAAAAATGGGCAGAAGACATGAACAGACATGTTTCCAAAGAAGATATACATGGCTAACTGACACACAAAAAGATGCTCAATATCACTCATCATTCGAGAAATACAAATCAAAACCACACATACCTCACACCTGTCAGAATGGCTAAAATGAACAACTTGGCAAACAACAGACGTAGGAGAGGATGTGGAGAAGGGGAACCCTTTCCCAGGGGCAGGAATGCAAAATGGTACATCCACTCTGGAAAAGAGTATGGAGGTTTCTCAGAAAGTTAAAAATAGAACTGCCCTATGATTCAGTAATTGTACTAGTAGGTATTTACCCAAAGGATACTAACATACTAATTCAAAGGGATACATACACCCTACCCGGATGTTTGCAGCAGCATTATCAACAATAACCAAATTATGGAAAGAGTCCAAAAGTGGTGGCATATATATGTGTGTGTGTATATATATATTGTATTGTATATATGTATATATATATATATATATATATATACAAAGAAACACTCAGCGATTCATGATAATGAAATTTTGCCATTTGCAACCATGTGAATGGAGCTAGAGAGTATTATGCCAAGCCAAACAAGTCAGTCAGAGAAAGACAAATACCATATGATTTTACTCGAATGTGGATTTAAGCAAGAAAACAAATGAACATGGGGGGAAAAAAGAGATGCAAACCAAGAAATAGACTCTTCACTAGAGAGAACAAAATGATGGTTACTCTGTGGACAAGGGGATGGATTAAAGAGGTGATGGGTATTAAGGAGGCACTTGTGATGAGCATGGGTGTTGTATATAAGTGATAAATCACTAAATTATATACCTGAAATAAACACTGCACTGTATTTTAACTAGCTGAAAATTAAATAAAACTTGGAAAAAATAAATGTTTTGTAGGATTTACATGAGAAGCCATCTGTTCCTGGACTTTGTTTTGAGAGAGTTTTAAAGTATGGTTTAAATACTGCTTACACTAATCAAAGAAGACGAAAATAAATGGAGACACATACCATGTTTATGGACTGAAAAACTCAATATGGTCCACATATCAGTTGTCTTCTGATTGATCTAAAAATTTAACACAATTCTAATCTAAATCCCAGGAAGATTCTGTGTAGATTTAGACAAGCTTATTCTAAAATCTGTATGAAAGGACAAAGAAACTAGAAGAGCAAAAACAATTTTGAAGAAGGGAAATAATGTTGGAAAAATCATGCATGATCTTAAGACTTTTTCTGAATCAAGAACTAGCAAATATCTTCTGTAAAGGGCCATTTAGTAAATGTTTTAGGTTTTGCAAATCATACAGTCTGTCACAGCTGCTTTAAGTTGCTGTTATAATAAAACAGCAGCCATTGAGAATATGGAAATAAATGGGTGTGGGTGTGTTCCAATAAAACTATTTACAAAAATGGGTATCACTTTAATTTTTTTCCATGGACTATGATTTGCCATTCCTTTCTCTAAATATATACTAATCAAGAAATTGTGTTATTAGCAAAAAGACAGATACAGAGATTAATAAACCTGTATAAAGAATCCAGAAATAAGCCTATGCAAATATGTCCCATTGATTTCTGACAAAAGTACAAATGCCATTCAGTGGAGAAAGAGTATTCTTCAATAAATGGTATTAGAACAACTTGGCATCTTTTTTTTTTAATTTTTTAATGTTTATTAATTTTATTTTACAAATAGTTTATTGTCAAATTAGTTTCCACATAACACCCAGTGCTCTTCCCCATAAGTGCCCTCCTCCATGCCCATCACCCCTCCCCCCTACATCCATCAGTTTTCAGTTTTTGTCAGCATTCAAGAATCTCTCGTGGTTTGCCTCTCTCCCTTTCCCCCACCATTTCCCCCATTCTTCTCTCCCTTGGTCCTCTGTTAAGTTCCTCCTAATCCTCCTATATGTGCAAACCTATGGTATGTGTCCTTCTCTGCCTGACTTATTTCACTCAGCATAACACCCTCAAGGTCCATCCATGTTGCTACACATGGCCAGATTTCATTATTTCTCATAGCCATGTAGTATTCCATAGTATAGATAAACCACATCTTCTTGATCCATTCATCAGTTGATGGACACTTAGGCTCTTTCCATGTTTTGGCTATTGTTGAGAGTGCTGCTATGAAGAACAACTTGGCATCTCATACATAAAAGCAATGAGCCCCAAATTAAACCTCACACATTATTCAAAAATTAACCTAACTGTATCATACATCAAAATATAAAATATAAAACTATAAAACTTTTCAAAGAAAAAATTTAAGTAAATTTTCATGATCTGGTATTAATCTAAGAATTCTCATAACTGACACTAAAAGTACAATCTAGAAAAAACAAAGTTGACAAGCTGGACTTCATCAACTTTTGCTCTTCAAAGGAAACTGTTAAGAGCATGAAATGACAAGGTATGTGCTAGGGAAAAATACTTGCAAGTCCCATAATACATGAATGATTTGTGTCCAGAATATATAAAGAACTCTCAAAACTCAATAAAAAAACATTAACAACAAGAAAATCCAATTAAAATAGGCAAAAGACTTGACTCAAATACTGTAAATAAGGAGATATATGAATGACAAGTAAGCACATAAGAAAATATTCAACATCATCAGCCATGAGGGATATGAAAAATTAAAACCATGATAAGCCATCCCTACATACCTATTAAAATATCTATAATAAAGGGGTGCCTGGGTGGCTGAGTCAATTAAGCATCCAACTTCAACTCAGGTCACCATCTCCCGGTTCTTGAGTTTGAGCCCCACATTGGGCTTTGTGCTGACAGCTCAGAGCCTGAAACCTGCTTTGGGTTCTATGTCTCCTCCTCTCTGCCCCTCTCCCCCGCTGACAGTCTCTCTCTCTCAAAACTAAACATTAAAATTTTTTAAAAATCTATAATAAAAAGACACTTATAATACCAATAACTAGTTAGGATGCATAGCAACTGTAACTCTCATACCTTGCTGGTGAGAATACAAAAATAGTACAGCCATCCTGGGAGAAAATTTAGCAGTTTCCTAAGAAGTTAAACATATATTTACCATATGAGCCAGCAATCATATTCTTGTATATTTACACTAGAAAAATGAAACCTCATGTCACACAAAAACATGGACATGAATGGCTAATCATTTTATTCATAATTGCCAAAACCTAGGAAAACAAATATCCCTCAAAAAGTGAGTAAAAAAAACTGGTACACCTATAAAGTAACGATACTGCCCACAATAAAGTAAATTACTGATACATGTAACATCTTGGATGAGTATCAAGAACATCATCCTGAATGACAGAGCCAGTTCCAAATATTTACCTATGATTACAACTACATGATATTCTTGAAGTCAAGCTATAATTATGAAGGAGCAAAATTAGTGGTTCCTAGGCTTACTAATAAGGGGAGAGTGTGACTGTTAAGTATGAGGGAGTTTTTCTGGCATGCTGAAACTATTTTGTATTCTAACTGTGATAGCAGTAACACATATCTATATACATTTTTTAAATTCATAGAAGCTACATCTTTTTTTTTTTTAAGATTTTTATTTTTAAGTCATCTCGATATCCAACGTGGGGCTCAAATTCATGACCCTGGGACCAAGAGTCCTATGCTCTGGGGTGCCTGGGTAGTTCAATCAGTTAAGCTCTGACTCATGATCTTGGCTCAGGTCATGAGCTCATGGTCTGTGAGTGCTCGCCCTATGTTGGGCTTTATGCTGACTGTGTGGAGCCTGATTGGGATTCTCTCCCTGCCCCCTTCTTACTGCCCCTCCCCCTCCCAAATAAATAAATAAACTTTAAAAAAACATGTGTCACATGCTTTTCTGACTGAGCCAGTCAGGTGCCCCTAAAATCTACATTTTTATTTTTGTTTGTTTTTGTTTATTTTGAGCAACAAAGAGGCAGACTGTGAGGGGGCAAAGAGAGAGAAAGAGAGACAAAATCTGAAGCAGTACCCAGGCTCTGAGCTGCTGGCACAGAGTCCCAGGCAGGGCTTGAACTCATGAACCATGAGATTCTGACCTGAACTGAATGAAGTTTGATGCTTAATCGACTGAGCCATCCAGGTGCCCCTAAAATTTACATCTTTAAGAATCCATTTTAATGTATAATAATTTATATACAAAACACAACAAAAACTGTAAGGGAGCTATATATGATTTTATAATATAGTATTATCCTAGCTTTGTTTAAAAAGACGCTTAAGTATATAAGCTAATTATCCAGGTGAGAACTCTGGAGATCTGAATGATGTTATTGTTTTTTTCCTTTGTTTTAGATTTTATCTATAGTAATAGATTACTTTTAACATTAGGAAAATAAAATTTATTTAATAAGAAAATTTTACCATTCATTCAAATCTTGTAATACCCCATTAGAGTGTCACATTTTGTTTCTACTACTTCTTTTGAAAATCGTATATGTAAAATATTTTATTTGTATCTTAATTTGAATTTAATTGCTCTTCAAAATGTCCTGTAAATTCTTAATTATGGGAAAATTGAAAAAAATCTATGATATAATAACCCTATAATTTTCTTTTTAATCCTTTTTCCAATTAAAAAAAAACAACAGGCAAGTACTTGACAGAAGAAATGAACTTGAAAAAGACATCTGTGCTGAATCTTTGATGACCAAGACCTATAATGAAGAAGGTAAAGGTATCTAAGTTACTCAAAGTATTTAAATCATAACAGAACAATATTATAGCTGGCAAGAGCTTTTAGTAAATGAATAAAACTAAGAAATACCTGGGCATTTCTAGTTGGTGTGTTAAAGAACAGTTCTTGGTAAATATAATGTAAAATATGAAGTCAGCTGATTATAACAAAGGCTTAATTATAATGATTATACAAATAAATTTGGGGATCTTCTTAAAATGTTGATTCTCACTGAATAGGCCTTGAGTGGAGCCCATGATTCTGAATTTCTAACAAGCTCTCAGTGATGTGTACACTGCTGGTTTAGAAGTTACTTTGATAAGCCAGGTTCTGAAGGTCACTGAGAAAAATGGCTTCATTCTTACCTAATTTAGTAAGAAAGAAACACACAGTAAGTTAGACTACATGTGGTACCCCAAAGAAGCATGAAGAGGTAACAGAGCAATCACTTCTAGCCAAGATATTCAGCTGAGCAGATGGCCTTCACAAATAAGAATTTCAATGTGTAGAAGAAATTGTATGAGAATTTGTAAAGCAAATACAAATAACACATAGATAACTGTGTGTGTAAAGACAAAAGTTGTTAATATTTGAATGTTCTAACTATGTTCCCTTTTCACTATTCCCTAAAGATCAATTTTAGCTTGGCCTATTTATTTTCTTACCTTTCTCTCTGAAAAATGGGTCATTTCTGTTTAAGTCTTTGAAATGCCAAATTTGGAACAAAAAAGGATACAGAGAAGGACAAGAAAGGCATGCGGAGTTAAGAGACTTTATATGGAGGTTTTTGTTTTGTTTTGTTTTTCTCTTCGCATAGCTCAGAGAATGAAGTGCATGAGCGCAACTTCAGCATCTGAGGAAAGTGGACAGTAAAGAAAAAGAACTTTTAAAAAGTATTGTATAATGCCAGGCATATAAGCACTTACTTTACTGCTGTTATTTTATAAACTGAGGCCTACCACGGATATATCACAAGGCCTATGTATGGTCCCACCTCCAACCCAGAATACTATTACTTCAACTCTTTTGTTGTCCTCATCTATAAAACCAAATTTCAATGGAATGATTCTCATGAAGGATAGGCAGCTGAATAAATAATTTAGAGCCATGATTTTGGCATTAGTAGTTTAAAGACACATGACTCTATATAGGAGAGAAAAATGGTATTTTCCAACTTTGTTTCCTTTGAATTTGAAGAAAAATGTGGAATTTATATAAGTATTCAACAAGGCCAGCAGCTAGTTGATGGTTACTGGCAAGATGGCAGAATAGGTCTCCAGCCCTCATTCCACCCCCCTCCCCACAAACACTGATTTAGCAACTATCCACAAACAAAAGTACCATTGTGGGGGCTTCAGAATCTGGGAAGAAAGTTGCAACAGCACAGTGGAGCCCAAGACAGAGGACTCTTTGAGAAAGTATACCCCTCCCCAGGACCTGACCACAGACTCAGGAACAGCTCTATCACCCTGTTTACATGGCTCTGGCCCTACTCATCTTTTGTCATGCTACCAGCCCTGCCCACTAATGGGCCTGGCAGGAATGTCACATGCCTGTGACCCCAGTAACAGGCCCACTGACTGCAGACCCAATTGCAGACCTAGCAGCAACCCCATATCCAGCTCCAACTGCTTAAGTGTGATCCCAGAGGCAGTCTGGTCCACCCAGGGACCTGGGAGAAAACATGCCAATCTGTGTCCCAAGTAACAGGCCTGCCAACTGTGGACTCAGAAGTAGCCTGTCCACCAAGGTAAGCAGCACAAGCTATGCCTGCTGATGCCCCCAATAATAAATCAACCAACAAGTAACCTAACTGTGGACCTGCAAGCAGCCCCATGACCTGGTCCTGTTTCTGGTGCACTACAATCCAGGAGGCAGGGTTGTCTGTCTGGGGACCTTCAGGAGTAGGTCTTTACCTGCCAAAAACACTCTGTAAAGAATGGAAGAGGTTCCTGCTCCTTTGGTTGCACAGACACCAGTGCAAGGCTATAGAGTTACAAAGAATCAGACAAACACAGTACCACCAAAGAAACAAAAAGTTCCAGTAACCAATCCCAAAGAAATGGAAATCCACAAACTGATTGACAAGGAATTCCAAAAGCAATCATCTTTAGAAAGCTCAATTAAATAATAGACAGATAAATAAATAAATAAATAAATACCCAATGAGGGGAATCTGGGTGGCTCAGTTGCTTAAGCGTCCAACTCTTGATTTCACCTCAGGTCATGATCTCACGGTTCATGAAATCAAGCTCTGCATGTGGCTCTGCACTGACACTGTGGAGCCTGCATGGATTCTCTCTCCTCCTCTCTCTCTACCCCAATCCCAGTTGCTCCCTCTCAAATTAAATAAAAACTTAAAAAAAAAAAAAAAAAGCTCAATGAGCTAAATGAGAACACAGATAACTAGAGAAAGTTAGGAAAACAATACATGAACAAAATGAGCAGCTCAAAAAACAAAAAAGGCTCTAAAAAAAACCCAGAAATCTGGAGCTGAAGAATATAATGATAAAACTAAAAATTCTAATAGCTTCAACAGGAGAATCAATTAAGCAAAAAAACCAACAACAACAACAAACTCAAAGACAAGTCATTTGAAATTCTAAATTTATAAGAACAAAAAAGAAAAGAGTGAGGGGTATGGAGGTGGCTCAGTGAGTTAAGCGTCTAACTTGGGCTCAGGTCATGATCTCATGGTTCATGAGTTCAAGCCCCACATCTAGGGGCTATGTTGTTGGCATGAAGCCCACTTGAGAACTTTTGTGCCCCCTCTACTCTCTCTCTCTCTCAAAAATTAACCAAAAAAAAGTGAAAAAGTGAGGAAACCAGACAGGGCTTAATATGATACTCCAAAGAAAAACCAATATATACACTAGAGGTATCCCAGAACAGAAAGGGGGGAACGAAAAACTTAAAACAATGGCTGAAACATCTCAAATCTAGGAAGAAAAACGAACATCCAAATTTGTGAAGCCCAAAAGTTCCCAAAAAGGTTCAACTAAATTGTCTAAAGTAAAAAAACAAAGAATTTTCATAGCAGCAAGAGAAAATGACTTATTACACACAAGGGGCTGTACAGGGCATAGCACCTAAGACTATCAGTGAATTTCTCAGCACAAACTGTAAGTCAAATGAGAGTGGGATGAGGGGTGTGTGGGTGGCTCAGTCGGTTAAGTGTCCAACTTCAGCTCAGGTCATGATCTTACAGTTTGTGTGTTAGGCTCTGTGCTTACAGTTCGGAGCCTAGAACCTACTTCAAGTTCTGTCTCCCTCTCTCTGCCCCTCACCTGCTCACACTGTCTTTCTCTCTCTCTGAAAAATGAATACACATTAAAAAAATTGTTTTTAAGGGTGGGATGATATACTCAAAGCACTGAAAGAAAGAAAAAATACAAACCAAGAATACTTTACCTGGCAAAACTGTATTTTAGGAATAAAGGAGAGAGTCTCCCAAACAAAACCTGAGAGAGTGTATTACATTAGATGTGCTTACAATAAATACTAAAAGGAGTTCAGGTTGAAACCAACAAAAAAGGTTGATTTCATGAAAGACAACATGAAAGCACATGAACTGTCACTGTTAAAGGAAAATACTGTAACAGTGGCATGTAAATCACTTTTAACACTAGTATACCAACTTAAGACCAACATAGTAAGAATAACTATAACCACTAAAATGAAACACAACATAGAAAGAAGTGTAATCCAGAATCAACTCTAAGTTTATGTGAGAGAATAAGCATACAGATCCTGTACATAACTAAAATTAAGCTGTTATTAGCTTAAAACAGACTGCCTTAACTAGAAAATTGACTCCAGTGGTAACTATGAAAACCAAAGGTACAATAGATACATCAAACATAAAAAGAAAAGAATCAAAGCATACTGTTGCTCCAGCTGCTGCAAATAATCATCAAATAAAGGCAGTTTGAAGAAGAAACAAAATCACTACAAAACAGAGAGAAAACAGTTAATGAAATGGTAATAATAGTAAGTCTTTTCCTATCACAGTAATTACTTTAAAAGTAAATGGATCAAACTCCTCAATTAAAAGATAGTGTGGGTGAATGGATTAAAAATAAAAGATTCAACTAACTATATGCTGTCTACAAGAGACTCACTCTTAATTTGAAGACACACAAATAGTCTAAAAGTGCAAGGATGGTGAAAGATATTCCATGCAAATGGTAATCAAAAGAGGAGTCATTATAGTAGACAAAAGAGACTTTAACTGAGAAACTATCATGAGACAAAGGACATTACTTAACAATAAAAGGGTCCATTTGTCAGGATGATTTAACAATTATAAATAAACATGCACCCAATATCAACTATATACCTATCAATAAATATTAATATATAAAGCAAACATTTACAGATATGTAGAAATAGATAGCAATAAAATAGTAGTATACTTCAACAACCACCTCTTTATAATGTAAAGATCATCCACACACACAAAAAAATCAGTAACAAAATAGCAGAACTGAATGGAAACACATATAAAACATTCTACTCAAAAACAGAATACCCATTCTTCTCAAGTGTACATGAAACATTCTCCAGGATAGATCACATACTAGTTCACAAAACAGGTCTTAACAAATTTTTAAAAAACTGGATTATTTTAAATATCTTTCTAATCACAATGGAATAAAATTAGAAATTAATATTTTTGTGTATGGTTTAAGAAAGTGGTCCAGTTTCATTTCTCCCCATGTCACCATTCAATTTTCCCAGCAGCATTTGTTGAAGAGACTATCTTTTTTCCATTGGCTCCTCTTTCCTGCTTTGTTGAAGATAAATTGACTGTATAGGTGGAGGTCCATTCCTGGGTTTTCTATTCTGTTTCATTATTTCCATCTGTTTTTATACCAGTACCATACTGTCTTGATCACTATAGCTTTGTAATATAGCTTGAAATCCAGAATCACAATGCCTCCAGTTTTTTTTTTTTCTTTTCAAGATTGCTTTGGCTATTCAGAGTCTTTGTGGTTCCA